ACATTTCTACAAATCTGATGAAGAAACAAACTCATCTACATCTTGGATCATTTTCAGCAAATTTACATTTTTGTGTTAACCATTTTGTTAAAGGGGTCATATGATGCGATTTCAAGTTTTCCTTTCTCTTTGGGTTTGTATTAATTTAAGGGATATTCTTACATTGGCAACACCATTTTTTTTGATTTTGTAATAATTTTATTATTATACTATTACACTATTTATACTATTATACTATTTGCTATATTCGCTCTCCATGTAGGCAACGGAAGGCATGCAATAACCATATACGTTGTGTAATGTCATTCATAAATTAGGAAGTCACCAGACCGTCTGTTTCAGATCAAGCTTCCCCCCATATAGAGATAAATGCTACCTGGGGAACGTCTTAAGGAGGCATGTTCAGTCTTGTTCAGTTGATCCATAACATGCAAATGTGTTGCATAAGGACTGTGTTGTTTCCTTACAGCATTTTCTTCATTGCAGCATTTTAATGCAAACTCGTATTGTCGTCTGTTTAGCAACGTTTAACATTTCTGGGTTTACTGTGTGTGAAGATGCAATGCATTAAGTCTGTATTAATACATATATATTATATATGCAATATTAGTTAAAATGGACTATAAATAAATATTTAATATACAATATTATATAAACTGTTACTGTGTAAAAAAAAAATCTGTATATCTAGATAAACTAGCTAACCTTAGTAATCAATCATCATGATTCATCTTAAATTTTGAAATATAAACTATATATACATTATGTGTGTGTGTGTGTGTGTGTGTGTGTGTGTGTGTATATATAAGCTTTAGTGTCATGTATAAATGCGTCCTGTGGTCTCATCCCTACTGTTGTAGCCATTTAAGAAAGTGTATTTTTATTTTATATTCTTTCATGCATGTTTCCCACAGCTGAGAATCCTGAAATCGTCTCATCTGAGACTCACTCTGTCTCTCTTTGTCTCTTTCTCTTTCTTTCTCTGCTGAATTGCCATCACCTTGTTTTACGTCCTTTGTCAAATTGCCCTCGTCACCTAATTGTCTTAATTAATGTGATGCATTTTACATGGCTGCGCAGTTTTCCCATCCCGCGGTTGCTTTTTTCAGTCGCATTCCTTCGTCAGTTTGTGGCAAACAGACAAAGAAGAGCTTGTTGGGGAAGTTCTCCATCTATGGCCCATGGCCGCTACTAGTTATGAGGGTCCGTGAGAAAGAGACACTCACCAAAACCTGCTCTGGACCTGAAACACGCTTTATGCAAGTATGTGAATCCAAACACAATTACATCACCACAGGAGGCGCTATAGTGAACTTAAGCATAAACTGTCTTCTACGCTCAGTTTTCTCTTTCAGATCAACAAATGTCATGGGGAAGCAAACGTCTGAATAGGTTAGTTAAAGTTAGTTTAATTAATAGTTGATTAATAAGCACAGAAATTTTAACGTAACTCTTTCGGCACCTTAAATATGAAGTACTTTTATCGCAAAAGCAATGCAAGAATGCATGCTAAGTATGTTCAACAGTGCCCTTGCAGTGCTTTGGCTAAGTATTCAGTACATACTTGGGTAAATCACTACTGTAATATATGATTGAAATTTTAATGGCAAAAGGCTTTAAAAATGCTGTTAATTGGTTAATGGTAAGTTCCCTTAATAGAATGAAAAACTTAATAGATCTAATGGGACATCTCATGTAATTTTACAGTAAAATACTGTTAAATGTACAATTTTTGAAAGTGAAAAATATCAAGTCTTATAATTTACAACTTAAAAATGGAATTTGACAGCTCATATTTGATGGATTTTCATTGAAATATTTGTTTCTTAGTTTTTTTCTTAGCAGTTTTGTACATTAGGGTTTAATGTTACATCTTATGGTGCCAGGTGAATACGTAAAACATTAATACATTGTTTCTATGACAAGTTTTCGGAAATGTTATGTTTAAATATGCAAATGATTCATTATCTAATTGAATATGCACTAATTTGCATACTTTTCCAGAATGTAAATCTGAACATTGAATAAAGCCAGGATCAAAATTCTTGTCTGATTTTGTTGACATATTAAAGGTTTTTACAGAGGGAGAATACTGTCAACTGACAGAAAAAAAAAATGTCACCATGTTTTTAAGAATATTATGTTGTATAAACCCAGGCAAATGATATATGGATAAACCCCTCTATAAAAACCTATATAAAAAAATTTAAAAACGAGTAAAACTATAAATGTTGGTGTATGTAACTCATTTTGTGAAACAGCCTTTAAATATATGTATTGTAATTGAAATCTACAGATGTAAATACATAAAGTGCAATGTAATAAAAATCAGGCAAATGTTACATGAACAGACCCCTCTATAAAAACCTAAATAAAATAGCTAAATTTGGTGTAAGTGCACCTTTAAAAATAAACAGACTTTAAAAATGCAATGTGCATTGTAATTGAAATCGACAGACGTAAATAGATAAAGTGCAATCAAATTAACAGTTAAAGCCAAATAACCCAAAATCTCAAAGTTAATAAAATGTTTTTTTTGTTTGTTTTTTTTTTACTATAAATTTAAGTTCAATCCAAGTTGAGTTGCCACTGTTTTTGTTTTTTTTTAAGGTAAAGTTCTGGCAACAACAGCTGCTGGTTTTTAGCTGTAAATTTCACAGGCTTTTATTTATTTATTTATTTTTCAGTGATGTTTCCGACCTTATTGATGCAGATGCGCTTTGACTGCATCAGACGGCGAGGCGTTTGTCCCTGCTTCTGTCAACACAAAGCCTGAAAGCTATCCGATTGTAAGAGAAAGCAAAACCAAAAGCATACCTGAAATGCAAGCTGCAGAAAAAAAAATTTTCTCAAGCGATTGTGTGTGCATGCGAGAACGAGCATGCGTGGCCCCTATGCAGGGGAAAGTCTGCTAATATCGGCCTTAAACGCAGGTTATTATCCATCCAAACATGGGCCGGCTGGTATCTTATCTCCTCAGCTGAGTGAGTCCAGTGACGGCGCTCCAGCAGCTGACAGCTGGACCCTGCATCGCACATCAGATAAACTCATTTCTGCATGCTAATGTCAGCTGTGGAAACTGGATTCCTCTCTGTAGCACAATGCTATCACGCTTCGCACCGCAGCGCCGGGGGCCTCTGAGTCGGCCGGGGTCACATTTCTCCGTGGCACGCCGCAGGCACTCTATCTCTATCCCATCAAGCACTGGGGTGCAGGGTCTGTCAGTGGGCCCCCGAGACGAAGGCGCACTAAGTAGCGCCGGATAGAGTTACCACAGTGTGTCTGTCAAAGCCCCTTTTCCGCCAGTTTGGCCTCACTGTTTTGGTGCACTTTCACTCTTTGACTGTTTTTAAGCAGGTGATTTAGAGAAACAGTTATAGCTATGCTCACTCTGAACTTGCAGGTGCATCCTGGGATGCTTGTAAGCATTAATGAAGGAGGAGTGTGTGTGATGAACACTTGATGCTTTTCCTTCACTCGTTATGTAGGCACAATTTATTGTGCTTTTTAAAAATGTATTTCAAACAATTGAGCAGAAGTATTCAAAAGGGAAACAAAAAATCATTTTGTGTCCAAACTTTCACGGTCAGTGTACATATTTTTATATTATATACAGTGTAGACATTTGTATGCTATTGTTTCTATACTGATGTGATTTGTTATTTAACTTTTACTCTGTAAAGTACCTTTAGAAGCTGCATGCCTTCAAATGTGATATATAATAACAATAGTAATAATAATGATCAATTTTATTTATTTATTTATACCTGTTATGATTTTATAATAAATCTAATATTAAATATGTATGTGGATGGGGGTGATATTAGTGTAAGAGAAAGAAGGAAAGATTGTGGAGTGTGTGTGTGTGTGTGTGTGTGTGTGTGTGTGTGTGTGTGTGTGTGTGTCAGGTAGCTGAATCATTTCCTTGTTCTGTGCTTTTGGAATTGCCACTCTGGCATTCTTACAAGTCACAATGTTCCAGGTGCAGCTAAACACACACACACACACACACACACACACACACACACAC